ATTAAAATTAAATATTTGATAAATTTATTTATTTTAAAATTATTATAAATTAACTGGTTTGATAAAACTTTTTATTTAATAATTTAGGACAATGAATAGTAATTAGAAGCTAAAACACTAACGAATCATAGCCACCGCCTATGATTGGAAACCAGTGCCATAAATTGTAAGCATCAAATAAGGGGTAAGTAGCTTAGGTATAGGTCAAGTATGAATTATATTTAGTATTTGATATGAAAATTTTTTAGTATAGTTTTTTAGAATTGGTATTTACTTAAATATTTGAAGAGCTATATTTAGTATTTAACTCAATATGCATTAGGTAGCTTATGTGTATATATTTATATACTTAACTTATAAAAAGAAAAGATATAAATAAGATATTATTATTACGTATGTTATGTGTTTGGTTTATATTTTATTATTTAACGAGTTATTGTTGCTGCATGTGTGATTTATTTAGCTTATAAGTCTTACTTAACTTTTTTTAAAAAAAGTTTTCGTACTTTATTTTTTAAAAATTTTGAAAATTATTTTTATTATATAGGTATTAAATATAAAGATTAGTGCGTGTCAATCTCAATTTTCAAAAAATAATTAGAATCTCAACTTATATTTAGAAAAAAAAAATCCCTATTTAAAATTCAGAAATTCAATCAATTTTTAAATCTAAATATTAATATCTAATGAGATAAAGTTTTAGATTTTAAATTGAATTTTAATTAAATAAAATGATGTATTTTAAGGTTATGACTTCAATTCTTTTTAGAGTGGAGATTGATATGTCTTTTTTTCTTAAATATAATAAGTACATATAAAATTTTAATTATATAAATAACAAGTTGAACAAGTTGATCAAATAAATCAGATAAATAATTCTAAACCCTACATTTGTTATGTAATTTAATATTTATGAATAAATTATTTTTTATCTATTAGGGAATAATGTTTAGCAACCTTACCTTTTAAAGATTATGAGAAAAATTATTTTAAAATTACGTAGTTTTAATAAAGTATTATAAGAAAATACAAAAAATACTCTAATTCATACTTTAAAAATATAGTATTTTAGTCTTTTTCAATGGAGATTTATTGAAACGATATAGTTTTGAGATGATTTTTTTCTTAATATTTAAGAAATAAGGTTGATAGGTACTATTCTCTATTCATTATTTAGTTATTTTTTCTATAATATAAATATAATATTTATTTAAAAGATAAAATACTTACAGACAAC